CAGCAGCAAGCAGCAGCAGCACCAGCAGCAGCAACTAGCAGCAGCAAGCAGCAGCAGCAACCAGCAGCAGCAGCAGCAGCAGCCGCAGACATGCTACCTTTCGTCCACCCCCGTCCTCCGCCGTCTCCTCAAGTAATTATACAGCCAACTATCTTTTTTTCTGGAGGAGCTGGGATTGATGAATAGGGAGAGGCTTCTGGTAGAGACAAAAAACTATTAGGGTGATGTACATGTGGAATTCAGGTGTTAAATTAGTTTAGTATTGGAGGCGTCGAGCTGGGACTGATTAATAGGGGCTGGTTACTTGATCCTAGATGCGCAATATAGGAACATCTACAGTATGTAAACATGCGAGCAACGGCCCCACCAAGAAAAGACACATGATGAAGAGCATTCGAGGTGATCCACCATTGACTTTGTGCCTGGTCTTCACCCCTGCACATCTAAGCTTGGTTTCATTGAGTCCCCCGTGCTAGCCACGACCGCACCGGGTCACCGAGGTCTAAATGCCAAGGAGACCTGCCTTTGGGCCACCTCCCAGGCATGCCCCTTGCGGCGCAGTCACTGGGCCGTCACGGGAGAGACGACTGATGGGCCAAACATCCAGCCAAGAAAGTCGACTCGTCAAGTTGAGTAAAATGACTCGGCGAGTCGGCCATTTTCTTGACCCTGAAGCCAGGGCCTTCGTGAAGTGTTAGCTTCCTGGGACAAAAAGAAACATGAGCGCGGAACAACTATATATATATATGTATACAATTATACAATATAGTAATTGCTGGTTGACTCGGGTTGGCATTGTGTGCTTTCCTTTTTGTGATAGATAGGGGCTGCATGGTGTTGCATGGTGTTGCATTCTTTCAGGCTTGGGTATACCGAGCTTCGCAGCGATCAGGGGCATTTTCCAAGGGACCAGTGTCTTTCGGCGACGCATGAAATTGAGGCATTATCCACGGCGATCTTCAACTCTCCGGCTTCCATGAGAAGCTTGGTTGCAACATTCCTGGTGCCTGAAAGCGAGAGAGATCCTGTTGGTGCCATTGGCCACTCCTTCGAATCACTGCCTGCTATGAGTTCTATTTAAATTAGAATTGAACACTTTGCCAGAACTTTTCCAGTAGCTCAGGAGATTCACGCAGACCGGTAGGCCTCAAACAGGCCCCCAAAGAAATACTTGGAGAACATGCGTTAGAACCACTTTCAGCGATTTGCTTGGAGACGGCCAGGACCACTTTCTAAGCAGGCATCAGACATACCCTCATTGTTTGGGATGATGAGCAAGACCGAAGAGAATAGGGAGAAATAGTTTTTGGCAGGAAACCTATCCCACACCGCATCCCTCGTTCAAAGCGGTGTAAGATATTGTCCTTCAATCGAATGGTCCACGAGAAGACCCCAGGGCGGGAACCTGAAGAGGGACTGATAGTGTCAATCCATAGGAGTTCTTAGCGTCCATCTATTGGTTCCCCGCACTTTGCTTCCACCACTAACCTACCACTTTGCCACTTATAATTGTCTATTTTACGAGTGTCCGGGAGAGCAGTTGGTACACCACTTGGCCTGGCAGGGACGAGAAGACGCTGGGTCCCAGCAGTGGTGGTTTCATGGCAGATGTGGATGTGACCTTGGGCTGATTTAACGGGTCGTGCTTCCACCCGCTGATGGCTTGAAGTGATTTGTCCTCCTCCTAATGGAGTCCCGCTTCATAGGTGTGTTTTCTCGTAGAATGCTGGCAATGTTGAATGGCAAAAGTTTCAAATACTACAGTACTGTAAATGAAAAGTGGTTAATTGCAGTAACATGCAGCAACTAATTTATTACTACCTGGAACCTGAAACGACCACCTTTTTTGGTTGTTTCGTCAAACGACCAAAAATTTTTGAAACGACCCAAAAAATGGTCTTTTCTTAAACGACCGTATTTTTGTCAATTATGATGATGTTCAACTATATAGTTGAATATATAAGTTGAAACACAAAACGCAAGGTAATTCTGTATGTCAGTACATGCACACACTGTAAAACACAAGCTAATTCTGTATGTCAGTACATGCACACACAGTAAAACACAAGGGAATTCTGTAGTTTACATTATAATTTGATGTGCTTTAGCAAGCACATCTGTGCTTTTGCAAGCACATTTGTGCTTTTGTAAGCGTTTCATGTGCATGCAACCTGCAGCATTTTGCTTAAATTTAAAGGGGGTTAGTGTTTGGTGCATGCGTGGCTATGTGCCATTGTCGTGGCCTGGTTGAACAAGCAAGCTTTTGATGCTGCTGCATGCAGTGTGAGGCTCGCCAGCTATATAGGGACTAAAAGACATGTGCATGAGTGCATGCATGTGTGAACTGCACAAACAATCAAGCAAGGCGCGCATGGGATGTGAATGGTTTGGTGATGAGCTTGTTCAAACTCAAATGTCCTAAGGAACCTTGGCAGCAATTCATTATTTGCGTTGGTGCCTGGGCCTTTGTAGGCCTTGGGTGCTTGGGCTTTTGCCAGCCTGCCTTTGGGCCTTTGGGGGCCTGAAGGATTAAGTCTTAATGCTTGGGCCTTTGCAGGCCCAGTGTTTGGGCCATTGCTGGCCTTGGAGTGCTGGAAGTTGCTTACCTGCCTTTTGTGCTAGGTTTTCGTGCTGATCGTACTACTGGTGGTATGGAATGAAGATCTGGGTGTTCAGAGCCAGACTGCGAAGGCCGATATTCGTGCTGTTGAGTGAGTGTGTATGACATCTCCTTGATGCCAGCTTGCATGTGAATGGTCCTGCAATTTGGCCTTTCAGCAGTCTCGTGGCTCAAGATGCCAAGAGGCAAGGCTTCCACAGAAATGCGGAAGGCAACCAGGGCACTCGTGCAGGCCTTGCAGTCCAACAATGAGTTGATTCGCAATCTACAGGGCCTGGAGAACCTGCAGACGATTGCCAATCGCCAGACTGCCCGTGCAGATGGCCAACTTCATGAGACTTGGCTATAATTTGATATAATTTGTATGTGTTGATTTGCATGTGCTTGCTTGTTGCTGCATTGGTGGTTGCTGATTTGGGGACTCAGGAAGGGGAAAGGCACCGAGAGCTCCTTCTCAACATGATGCGGAACATGGTATCTTGGCTATTAGTGCATGCGCTTGGTATATGGTAGTGTATGCACTTATTAATATTGGCAATATCCCAGGTAGAGGCAGCTGATTATGATGAGCTTGCGGAAGCAGAAGCTGGCTCACCTGCCTCTTCCTGCCCAGCATCCACTGTGCCACCAAGGGCACCACCTCCAAAGCGGCCAGCGCCTCCAAGTGTACCACCTCAAACGACAGCCCCAATGCATGGAGGTCCAACAGTGCTGCCTCCACAAATGACAGGGCCTCAGATGACAGCCCCAACGCCGCTGCCTCCACAAATGATGGGACCTCCGATGGCGGCTCCGATGCCGTCGCCTCCGCCAATGATGATGCCCCAGATGACATCCCCAATGCCTGCAGCTCCAATGGTGCCTCCCCCCAATGACGATGGCTGGGATGCATCCACCAATGCCTCCTCCAACACCTATGATGCCTGCAGGGAATGCGATGCCTCCATCGGTGATGGGCCCATATGTGCTTGACCCGGTCCTTGCACAAATGGCATCTGGGCTTAATTTGTTTGCGCTTGTCTAAATGATGCATGTGTGCGTTTCATGTGTGGCTCTTTCATGTCTGCGTGTTTGGTCAGTGACTTGAGGTGCAACAAATGAATCAGCAGCAAGATGATCAGGTGACTTGGTTGGCTTGTATACAGGCATGTTCAAACAAGTCATGCCATTTGAAGTGATTGAGGCGTTGTACATGGAACCAACACCGCCAATGGGGATGCCAAAAGGGCCGAACATGGACGCAAACAAGGTGCCTTAATTTAGAAGTTTATTCAGCATGTGTGGCAGTTCATTGCACATTTGTGGCAGTTCCAGCATGTGTGAATGCAAATGAGGTGCCTCAACCGCCAATGGGGCCACAGGTGCCACAGCAACAGCAGGATCAGGGTTATCACCAACAGGGACAGCTGCATGTGACTTGGTTATATATGCGCACGCATGCTTCAATCTTGTGCAATGGTGATTGTTTGAAGTAAGCTGAGGTACCGCATGCAGCACCAAATATGGCAAAGTCCAAGAATTCTGATCCAACTCATGTACCCTGGCATGTGTGGCAGTTCGAGTGGCCATGCATGAAATGTACATGATTGATACATCTGATCTGAGGTGGACATGCCAGAATGGGCAAACCAGCTGGATAAGAAGAATGACCGGAAACACCCCAAAGGACATCCTGTGCTTTGGCTTAAATAACAGGCTTGATTTCACACACATGTGTTTTATACATTGCCTGGAAGCTTCAGGCACAGGGGCCCGAGCTGTCAGTGGACAATGACGCTTTCTTGATTCAAGCGCGTCAGATCCTTCAGCAGTTCCAAGAGCGGGAGAAGAATCGCAAAAAGGGTAACTTTACCGAAGTGGAGGAGGTGGTGGATCCTGCGGATGCACCAAAAAGTGAGCCACCACCAAAGCCGTCTTTGCGTGGTAGTGCTGCAGCGATGGTGAAGAAGAAACTGCAAAAGCCTCCTGATCCACGACTTGTGGTCAAGTGCAAGCCGATGCCCCAACCACCGCCTGCAATCAAGAAGAAGGCCCGCGCCGCTCCTGCTGATGCAGTGCCACCGGCAGCGCCAGATCCAGCTACCAGTGGCCTGAAGCGCAAGAATCAGCGTGAGCCCTCAGTTCCAAGGAAGATGAGCAAGAAGTGAGGGGCTGGCTGTACATGTTGCCATTTTGGCACGCAGGCATGACGCCTGGAGCCTTGATTTCAATTTCAATACAGCTGAACTGTGGACCTCTCTGTGAGCAACAAAGGGTGAATGTCATGAGATGTCCTGAGTGTTTCTGCAACCTCCTGCACCATGCAAATTTAGTATGTGCATGTGTACAGTCATGAGTGCAGGTGTACGATCTGTTGGAGTTCTTTGCTGGATGTGGAGCGCTCACGGATGAAGCTCGATGCAGCGGCTATCGCACAGCCAGTGTGGACATCAAGTATGTTCCTGGTGGTGCTATGGATTGCAATGCTCCTGCTGGCTTTGCGTTTCTTGTCACCTTGTTTTTGCAAGATGTGTTGCGTGGGTGTATTCTGACTGCGCTGGACTTAGGCTGCATGTGGCTACAATACTTCGTTCCCGCATTGATGCACCAACTCTGGCATGGTTTGCCATACTATGCTCCTCGTGGGTTGCAACATCTCGTGGCTCTATTTTCAGAACTTGGCTAGTTCCTGAGGGTGCTTCAGGGCCTGCAGTGGATGAGGGCAATTGCATGGCAGCCAGGCAGGGGGCTAAGCTTGGATGGTTGGGCCTTTGCAGGCCCTGCCTGTGGGCCTTTGCCGGCCTGGTATATTGTTGGATGGGTGGGCCATGGCAGGGCCTTCGCAGGCCCTGCCTGTGGGCCTTTGCTGGCCTGGTTTGTTGGCCTGCAGAGGCCTGTGCATTGCGCATCGTCTGTTGCAGGTGCAGCTTCCTCTTCCTGCTGATCCATGCCCTTGGAGGGGTTTGGGCTCTTGAGCAACCACGTTCCTCGCTGCTGATGCAATATGGGCTTATGCGAGATGTAGCTGCCAGGATTCAGGTCTATGATGTTGCCTTTTGGATGGCAGGTTTTGGTGCCAAAACACCCACGAGGTCAATGTTGTGGTCAAACAGCATTAAACATTGGCTGCATGCATTTTCAGACACCAAAGCTCTCTATGAAAAAGGCCAAGTTGCTGAAGGATGTGGACTTTGGAGAGCCGGTGATGAAATATGTCCACAAGGGCAAGAAATGCTGGAAGGGAACGCGCTGGCTTACAGCAACTGGGATCCTGAGTTGCATTAATTAAATTTGAGATTTACAATATTTGGTGATCAAATTGAGCTGAACACCATATCAGGATCTACACTCGCCTTTTTGGGAAGCACATTGTGGAGGTGTTCAAAAGGAACCACATGAAGCCACCTGTGAGTGACTTTCCCTTGAAGGCTTCCATGCAGGAGGCGCAGGAAGCCTTCGAACTAGAGAGTTTTGATGATTTGGTTGCAGATGGGCGCCTGATAGAGGTGATTAGATACCTGCGGTCCTTGAAAGGGCTGAAGATTCCGGAGTCTTGGAGGCCACTGGTGCCCACCAAACTCTGAGAGGACAGGCTGGTGTGATGGAAAATGGCTTTGAGTGAGCTCACTGGAGCATTTTTGTCAGTTTTTTTGCATTTTTGATGTTTTTGCTGATTTTTTGTGATTTTGGATATCGTATACGACCGTATACGACCGTTTTTTTTTTGGAAACGACCGTATATTTTTCGAACCACGACCGTATATTTTTCGAACCACGACCGTATTTTTTTGAAACGACCGTATATTTTGCGTATACGACCGTATATTCTTCAAGTTGTTAGCGTATACAGGCCGTATGCAAACCGTATGCAAACCGTATAAATCCGTATAAATACGTATACGGGGAGCATGGTTCAGAGCCACTTGATGGCTATAGCTTTTTGTGCTCAATTCTTGGGTTTGGGTGATCACCATGGAAGCAAAATCGATGACCCTGGAGAGTGACTTGGCCCATGGGTTGCCAAAATAGGGTATTGAACTTTATGTGGATTGTTTTTCTAAGGCCAATGCAGGTCAGGTTCGACCCTCATTGGTGGACTGGCAAGGTTGGAATCACGTGTCAAGGCGCATGGCATGCATGCATGTTGATACTTGCCATGAACAGCCTGAGCAGGTAGAGATTCCAGAGACGGATGAGGGTTTATCAAACTATGTCCAGGACATCATACATTAAATCAGTATACTCACATGTGCCTGAGAAGGCACATGTGTGCCCGAGAGGGCAGAACCAATGTCTGGCAAACCTGCACCTGATGTTTTTACAATCATGTTTGCAGCCAGTTGGCCAAAGGGGTGTGGCGCTTGGCACTCGCTGCTTGTGGAATGCAACTGGGTGATCAGGTGTGCAACTTCCCTCTGCTTGAGAGGTTCCTGCGTCAAGCATTGTGGAGTGTGCGCAGATAGATGCAGAAGATGGGATTGCTGATTGTGATGTGCAGGATTGGGGCCTGGTTGTATAAGTTAGGTGGCCGCATCGTGTATGTTCAAGGTCGCTGGGACCAGTTGCCTAAAGCGAGAGCATGGGACCTGTCTGTGTAATTGAGGGCCTGCGAAGGCCCTCACCTGTGTGCACCACCTGTGTTTGCAGGACCTGGCAAAAGGGTCAACAAGAGATGCAGAAGAACATGTGCACAAAGTCATGGGTGACTGCAAGAAGTCCACTTTCCAGGCCAAGATATCATTCCTGCAGACGCTTGGAGAACAAGAGTTGTTTCATTTTTTGTGCATGATTGTCAATGCTCTTTGGCACTGGCACCCAAAGAGTGGGAAAGTCCAAGCGTCAGGTTGGGTGTGTCAAAGAAGCTCATGAACTACCCGGCCATAGAGCCCATGGATGTTGTTGCAGCTTTGGCCCAACATGGCCATTTTGAAGCTGCCCTTGGGGTGACCCTGAAGAGGTGTGCCTTGGATTAATGAGACCGTTTGGTTGTCGTTGGTCACTGTGTGTGAGACATGGGTTTTGGGCAACTGCAGGCCATGAAGATTTGGCCAATTTTTGGCAGTGGTTCCAACACGTCTTCCCCAACCATGATGTTTCGGAAGATCTTCGACAGGGTGTCGTTGATGCAAGCAGCCTTGTGCCGGTACAGCTCCATGGAGATGGAGGTCGACACTTCAAAAAAAACAGAGGTGATGATCCTTCAATGGCAGCCAGTGTTGGGAGGAGGAACAAAAAAGGCTTTGCCAAGTAGAGTTGGGTTGGCCATCAACTACTGTGGCAACACCTGCAGAACCCGGTTCCTTTTCAGTGTCCTTCCACGCGCAATGTACAGCGGTACACCCCAGCCGTTGAACCGACTGTTCAGAGCTTTTGGAATCTTGTTTGCATGTGTGCTGTGGTTTGTTGCGATTGTTTTAATAATGTTGATATCGTTAAAATTATGAACTGAGGAAATGGCATGAAGCGACTCTATGAGGAGGGCTATAACTATGGGGGGCTGAAGTTCAAGTTTGCCACCATTGGGATGAAAGGTGACGTGGTCAGCAGGTTCAAACCCCATAGTATGCATGGCAATGCAGGAGAGTTGACATTGAGGCTGTGCATGGCTGGCACAAGGGATCATCCTTTTGAGGACCTGAGCAACACAGTGGCTTGGATGCAGCTAGGCAAAATCCGCGAGTACTGGGTTGAGATTCGGACCACTGGGACATGTGGCAGCAAGGAAGTGGACCAGATCACCACTTCGGTTCGTGGGGAGGGGGAAGGATCGGCTGAATCGCAGCCTCGGGCCATGGCCCTGGCTATGCCTGGGCTTGACACTTGTGTGAGTTATGTGTCCATGTGGGTCTATAGTGTTACCCTATAGATGAACTTGGGGATTTGGCTTTGCCAGCTTCGACAGCCTCAAGGTTATATAGATTGATCGATACTAGACCCATGTTGATGTTGTGAGCAATTTGCAGGAAATGCCTTTGATATCGTGACATATCATGGTCTTTTTTGGGCCCGAGTTTTGCCCTGGCTGCTCTCCTGGTGGAGTCACTGAGAGGGATCTCAAGTTGTTTGCTTGATTTACGGGCATGGCGCTCCTTCCTGTGCGTGAAATAATTCGTGAACACCCTCAGTTAGATCCTGGTCAAGCACCTCCAGTGGGACCTTGGCTACAGGACCTGGCTATGTGTGGCACAACCCTTGCTGAATGCAAGGTTGGCAAGTACCACCACAGCGGTACGAAACGCTACTCCGAGTGGTTGTTCCTGTTCACAGTGGAAGGTCAACAAAGGGTAGGATTCCTACGAAGGACCAAGTGCCTAGACTTGAATTCAGACAATTTGTATTTTTTAACACTTGAGTACCAGTATTGAAGTGTGTGGCATAAAGTCTAGCGGGAGGTTTTAATTTTTTCTATATTTTTCGCTCATAAGTCATTTTGATACATGGTTAATTTGTTAGAGCATTTTTGACCCACTCAGGAGCAAGAACATCGCTTTTGGCTCTGTGGGGACATGGCAATGGTTGGATGGGGACTTCCGACTATGGGGCTTCTCATGCTGTAAAGGAGCAGTGTGTCACGATCTACTGTTCACTTTGCAGGGACACAAGGCAGTCGATGTGTCAGTGGCTTTTATATACTGTATGTTGTTTCTGTTCAGAACATGTTATTTCCTGGTCTGGTTGTCGTGTATTGTCTCATGCTTTGGTTTCTTCTGGTTGTCCTGCATGCTTGTTTTTGAATCATAGTTTCCCTGGCAGGCCTGTCGATCTGTGACGGAAGGTGTCACTCGCTTCGTTTTTTGGATGGATGATGGTCGCGTACCTCCCCCATCGCCAGGGCCGATCCCATTGCAAGATCGCCCCATTGCCTTGGATGGGCGGTTGGATCCATTGCCCTTGGAAGATGCCTTACCAGATGCTTCTGCTTCTGATGCAAATGGTCGGCTTTTGGACAATGGATTTTTTTATGTGTTCGATGGAGTCACCGATGTACTTGAGACTTCGCCCCGGAGTTGGCTCGCGCTACCTGATGAAGCCGGAGCTCACCGATGAAGAGGCTTGAGGATGCCCATGTGACACATTGTGACACTGTCACATGAAACGGACAGGACCTGCAGGAAGCCAGGAATAATAGCTAGGTGGGAAAAGCTCACCCAGCTTTTTGGAATCAACTGCTTGCTGTGACAGAGACCAATGCAGCAAGCACCTTTTGAATTGGAATCATTGACGAAAATCGTCAGTCTGGAATGAACATAAGCGTGGGCCTGATGGAAAGAAACTCAAACTGCATGCAAACACGCTGAATCTGACACTAATGGGGTATAGTGCCTCAGACTTTGCGTGTGGTTTTTGGTCTAAGGCACAGGACTCTTGTGTTCATGCGGTTTTTGGAGTGGTTGTGTGGCGTCCACCAAAGCAAGTTCAACGGCTCTAGAAGTTTGATGTTCATCAGGGATGCAGCAAAAGCGATGAATGAATTTTGGGGAACATTGCATGAATTGGGTGTGTGGATCTATGGTGATGCAGCTGCATCTTTGGTGGCCAAAGGCCAATTGTTTTGCAATTTGTATCAGAAGCTTGCCATTTTGGCATTTGAAAAGGAACGCTTGTTGTACAATATGATTCCGAAAGCACATCTGTTTCATCACGTGGTGACAGTGATGTGCATGCAACACTCACGGTGTGGGTATGTGTGGAACCCACTGGTTGATAGCACCCCCTTAGACGAAGACTTTGTGGGACATACAGCGAGGATTAGCCGACGTGTTGCTAGCAAGACTGTTCAACTCCGCACACTCCAAGGTTGGAAGTGTGCTGTGCTGGTGGCATTGAAGGATCGCTGCTGAGATTGTCAGTGAAAAAGTGTGCTTTGTTTCTTTTCTGTTCCGTTTATGCTCGCGTTCGTGCATTAAGGTCATAAGTGTGCCTGCATGAGTACCTTCTTGACAGGTGCCTGTGAAGGCACCACCCTTTCAACAAAACCAATTTCGCTCGATCGATAGGTGCCTGTCAAGGCACCAACCATTTAACAATTCACCTAAAGGGTGAATGAAGTTTCACTTTTTTAAGCAACAAGCTGATGAATAAGAGACATTGAACTCAATTGTAAAAAGCGCGCAACATGAAACGACCGTATTTTTCATACAGAAAATGACTGTAAGATGAAACGACCGTATTTTTTTGAAACGACCAAAAAAAATGGTCTTTTTCAAACGACCAAAAAAAAGTGGTCGTTTCAGGTTCCAGGTATATCCTTGCACCAGTCAACAGTGTCCCCGTTCTGATCCGATTTTGCTTTGCCCATGCCTTTTGTCCCCTGTAAAAAAAACGTTTGGAACTGACCTCAACGCCACGCTCGCTGCCGCGCCGCCCCAGGAAAGGCACCGTGCCTCTGGGCACACAGCAGCAGTTCCTTTTCCGAAACAGATGCTCGGATGGCACGCGTGTCCGATGCTCGTTTGAGGAAAAGCACCTCCACCGACCCCACGCTGTTTTGGACGGTGGAACACAGTGATGCACGACGTTTCTGGCCTTGGGCCTTGACTTCAAAAAGCACCTGACGGGTAGACCAATAAAACCCTAGCTCCATGCTGCTAGGCGATTTGCCATCGGTGTTTGGTGGTTTGCTGCTTGAGTCTCAGAACTTGCACCCCGGCCTGAGGTGAATTTGGCCACGTGAACCTGAAGAAGAACACCAATGCTTACAACACGGTCTATGTGGGTGTGAAGGGCACGCCCGAGACGCATGAAATCAATGCACCTCAAATGGTCTCCTCGATCCCGAAGACTGAACGTGTGGCGGAGAAGCCTTTCTTGGTGGAGGAGATGGGACACTGGTTTGTCTCAGCCGGAGGCTCAATTTCGGAAGCTAGCTTTTTGCACTTGCACAGACGCCGGTTCACGTTTTGCTATGCACATGCAAGCTCACATAGACTCAGAACACAATGTGTTGCACTCACCGCTCACTCACCTTTTGACGCGCAACGACGTGTGCGCAATGAACTTGCTGAGTAGAAGGCTAGTGGCAGTTCGTGGAAGGCCATGGAAAGGCTTGTTTCCAGAAATGCAAGGTAACTGTATATACTTGCATGATATCGGCAGATAGGTTGTGATGTGCACAAGCAAGACTCAATCAATAGCAGGTTTGACAGTTCTTGCTGTTTGATACAAGCGCGTGCCATATGGACCAGGCTGTAGAACGCCAGCTCTAGCATGCCGTGGGACGTGGGTGAATTCATGACAAGGTCTTGAGAATCCGATAGTTCATAACGTGTGCCATGGTCTAGACAGGTCTAAACTCTAAACGCTTGGCTTTGGTAAGCGGGTGATTGGTGGAGGCCGTCCACTTTCCACTTTCGTTACGGACCATGCCTCGTACTTGAACCTTTGGGCCACCCCACCAGGATTTCCTCAAGGTGGACACCGGGTGTTTTGGGGTGTCCTCATGCCCAGGTGCCCAACCTCAAGCTGGACAGCGTCGGCAGCAGACAGTCCGCCTTCGCACCGCGCATTTCCATCGAGGAGATGTCGCTGGGCGGAAGAGGTGGCCTCGGGGGGTGAAAAGACAGGGCACACGGCGGAATTGATTTCGTTTAAAAGGGGAGGCACACGAGTCAAGGGCGCACGTGTCATAGGGCATGTCTCGAAGATCATTGGAGACCACCTGTTGTTGAGAATGTGAAGTCTATAAAATCACTTCATTTGGGGAAACGACCGTGTGACATTCAAGTGGTAGCTTAGCAAGATTGCCGCAAGATATCTAGGAAGACCAACCATGTGCTCCTGTTTCACATTGAGCCTTTGAAGCTGAGAGTTGGATGATTCGTGTGCCAAAGGTATGTGGCAAGAGCAGGCGACACCGCTTCATCCATCAACGTGTCTGGGACCTGTTTGGCCCATGGGCAAGAGTTTGAAGATATGTTTCACGGAAGAGGACCCGTGGAGGAGCTCGAGTTATGGGACAGTTACTTTCATCACCTGTAGCATGACCAAAATCCGTGCAAAGAGAAACACCGTGAACATCCTTGAGCACCAGACCTGGATCTCACACGGACCGTGTCCAAAGCCATGCATGTGAGTGTTCAGCGTGTCACAGACGGCCCGGCGAGCTCAGGTGGGGATCCAGGGGAAGAAGGGTTTGTTGTTGACACCTGGTCTCTATGAAGTTGGGGAGCCCATCATGGTGACCGATCCGGGCTTCGTGATCTTGGGCTTGGGTTTCCCCACCTTGGTCTCCAAGGCGCGAGGTGGGTTAAACTGGCGGGTTCTCGGGCGGTTGTTCTGGTGGTTGGTCTGGCAGAGATCAATCAGGAGGTGAAGAAGTGGCAGATGAAATTGAGCAACAAGACCTCCAACCCTTCCAACTTGGCAGCGATTTTGGCAACAGCATGTTCTGGGTTTGATTGTGGTTGTGGCCAAGCGTAGGCCGGTCGGTTGTTGTTCGCTAGCCGCATTTGTGGCAGTGGTCCTTCCAAAAACTCCCCAGCTGAACTGCGGAACATCAACTTCCAAAGCCTCCAGATGGGCGAATTTGGGACTGGGCACTGTCCGCACTCTAGACCCAAAGATAGGCTGTTCACCGACCGGCCCAAGGAGACACATATCTAAAAGCAGTCAAAGTTTTTTGACATCTCTTGACTCCGAGCCGAGAACACTGACAAGAGATCAACATCGAACATCAGCCCCACCCGAGAGCCCTTCCATCGCCATCAGGGTGCCCTACCCGCGATCATGCAGATGGCCGACGATGCCCGTGTGGCCGGAATTCTGTTGGAGGGTGGCGCAGAGGCGGGGATACTCCAGCAGCTTCCAGAGCAGCTGAGCCCACCCCCTGAAGAGTGAAAGATGTCATACAGTTTTCAATATTTCGATTGATTACATATCATGACGACTTATGATAGTTATGACATGCTATATATGACTATGACATACTATGACTATAGTAATACAAAACAATGGCACCAAGTTGTGCACCTGTCGGAATCTATCGGGGTGATGCTTCTCGGAGCGTCGACGATGTAGCGTAAATGTTTTAGTATAGGTTGTACAGATTCAGAAGTCTTACAACCACAGCCTAGCCTTTGATGAAATAAGGGTGGTGAGAAGGTGGGGAGCAGGGTCAAATACTCTCGCAGCTCCTGCTCTGGCGAGGTCACTTTAAACTTAAAGTGGCGTTGGAGACATTCCTTCATGACGAAAGAGACTTTTTGTGGGCTTTTGGGAGTGTAAAGGCAGGGTCCCTTGACTAGAAAATCCAAACTCTTGCCCCTTTCATAAGCAAATATAATCAAAGACCACCAGAATATACCAGAATCATGGGCAGGGGCCGTGTTGAGGGCCTTTTGAAGGGTGTTAATTCGCTTGAACGGGGGGGGCTTATTGGTGTTTGGACCGCAAAGCCCGGTGTTGCTCGAAAGGTTGACGAGATTCCCCGCACGGACGCGCTCCTCTTGTGGCCACTGGGCAACCGACAGAGCAGAGCAGCACCACCGGGGCTTGAAAGGCCACGGCATTTTGGTTTGGCACCACATTTGTGTGGTCGCCTTTTGATGTGAATTGCCAGAGCCCACCCTGAAAAGAAGCCAGAGGTTAAGCCAGAGTGACCCAAATACAGAAGGCATATACATATATAATTGAAAGCATCTTGAAAAATGCTGTTGGCAACGTTGGTTCATAGATCAGTGATTTTCCGTACCCCTGTTTCACCTTCATTTAGAACCTCCCAATACCAAACATATCGAAATGATTGATGTGCATGCGATGTGTAATCCCTGCCACGGCGTGTGGTTTGAAAGGATTTCCCACCCTGCTCGAACTAGCCAGTCCATGGGAGGATATCACTGCGCACCAACAACCCACCTGCTAACTAGGGCAAGAAACTACTAGGGGCTCCTGGCATCGCTACTAGTAGCAAGGACCCTACTCAGGGCTCGTGGCCTTACTACTAGGAACAAATAGCTACTAGGAGCAAAGGGCATCGCTACTAGTACTAGGGGCTCCTGGCCGTACTACTAGGAGCAAGAAGCTACTAGTAACTATATAGATGTAACTAGTAACAAGGACGCTACTATAGTTTTAAGGCTTATTTGTTCGAACAACTATACTTGGCCAACCGTTCTCTCCTGAAACCCCACGAGTGAGACAACGGAGCCCACGCGACGACGGAGTCGAGAGAACCACCGGTCCAAACATCAAAGCCACCGAGTCGACAACGAACACCAGCAGAATGGCCACTTGAAGGGGTCCTTCAAGACGAGACGGCTGAGGTCGGGCCATGGTGGAGTTGCTTCGGATATCTTCGCGCGTGTGGGCTCCTTCAAGTACGAGAACACCTTCCATAAGCCTTGCACAGAGACTTGCCTCGGAAGAAAATCAGGGGCAACGGATAGGTTTATTGGGGTGTTGTGTTTTGTGTCAATGGATGCGAATTTGCTCAAGTACAGTTTAGATTGGCAAGCCAAGCATTGAAGTGAAGTCGAGGAAGCATTCGAAGCGAGTGCTGAATTACCAGGGAGTAAACCATGTGATGACACACTTGGTGTTTCAACAACACGTGCCCGTGCACCCCAATCGATACACTAAAGAGATCAATGACGACTCACTATATATATATATATATATATGGTGGAAACTGTGAGGACACTGCAGCCCAGCTCAGAAGAGCCAACCACTACACCTCCAAATGGAGAATGTGACGAAACAACTGCCTCTGCCGGTGGTTTCGTCACCCAAGTGTCCAACCAGCTTGAGAATTCGTAAGCCCGCAATTTAGATCACAATTCCCAAAGGCAAACCCAAACAAACCAATGGGAAGTAATTGAAATGTTGGGGACGCACTGGAAACCAAAATCAAGAAACAGAGAACATACATGAAAATTTATACGTATCCAACACAATGCAACGTTTCGTTAGTGTTTGGTGAAGAATGTCCAGCCAAAATTTTGGCTAGTTTATTGATCGGATGACTGAATTAGATGCATTTGATGAAAAATTCTGTTTCTGTCAGTGTCCATTTCAGGTGACGTTTCTTCTGTGAAACCGTTGCCCACGTGGCCGGTCTAGGCCAAACGGGCCAACATCTTTTTTGAAGTGGAAGGTGACGATGTCGTAGTGGAGACTTGGCGGAAGTGCTGGAAGGGCTTGGAAGTGCTGCATGAGGGACACGGGTGGCAGGCAATGTGTGTTTACAAAAGGTTCGATTCAGATCTCGAACCCAATTTCTTGACGGTTTGGGCAGTGTTTGGTCAGAGCAGGGAGTAACACGGGTGATCGCTCTCATTGCACCGACTGAATCTGGCTCGTGATATTGGTGCTTGGTGGAAGTCCTTTTCACAGACGTTGGAAGACTTGACAACACTGAGCTAAAATGGGTGTGTTTTTCAAACATATGATTGTTTTTTTTCTCTTTAATAATTAACACTTTTTTAACATGTGCCGTATGTTTGGCTCAGTCACCGGAAGTTTTAAAATTTGGCCCTCAACGGCACAGTTTTAACGTTTGGTAGAAAGGTCCCACCCGTGTGCCTTTGCCTCGATCCGGATTTGACAGACTCTTGAGAGCCTGGTGGGGGCTGCGTGGGATGTCGCAGACAGGGCCAAGGTAGACAACCACTCCCATTCCCACAAATCACATGTCAGGATGCACCTCACATGATGAATTTCTACTTTCGGATGAGCAGCAGCCCAGGATGCCCTAGAGAGGAATCAGTTCTGGAGCGCAAAAACCGGGGTCCGGTGGCGGAACGAGTGCTTTCCAACCAGCTAGTTTCTGTCAGCTCATCCTCCAAGATGCAACCTCCCCCAGTCTGAGGCCAGGATCCTTCCGGAAGCCCAAAACTGTGGCGGCCCATCAGTCTTCGATCGCCGTCGTCCATGTAGGAGTCTTCAGTACCAAGGACCATACATGGTTGTGGCACGCGGACCATGATGACTGCACCTCTCGTTGGCCTGACAGTCTTTCCGCTGTGAGCTGCCAGAGTCAAAATGCGCTGCTGGTCCGCGGCAAGCGCGTGCTTCTTGGATTTCTGTTCGTCGAGAACATGAGCATGAGATTGGGAAGCTCTTTTCTATGGGGACCATTGCCCCCGCAAGCTGGCTTGTCTTGGGTGGATAGATCGACCAGGTTGTCCTCTAGGCAAGCGCAAGGGAACATTAGCGGTTTCCATCAAGGGTAGAAGAGTTCTTCAAACCACTCCTCAGTTGCCCCTCGTGGTGCGGCTTTGAGATGACTCAAGTCAATTCAGCTGCAATCTCCTAAGCGTGGAAAGGTTGCTCACGTGAACAGACAGAGCAGAGTTTTTCACATCCTGTGTCGTAGTTCCTCAGTTCTATGGACATCACCCCGAACTCAAATCTGAAATCCATCAAACAACTAATGTGTGGGTATTTGTGCATACATGGCGCAGGATTTTGTCGCGGAACAAAGTTTTATGTAACGAAGTTGAAGCACTCCGTATCAGTTGTTTCAACATCACCGGCTCAGGATCATCTATGGACTCCAGGCGGAGCACACTTTGGAAGACCAAGTGGTGTGGTATGGCGAGGAGGGCAGCTAAAGCTGGAAATTAGACCAGTTCAAGAGATTTCACATGGTTCCATCAACGTATAAGTGCTCCGTGACATAGCCACAACAATCATCAAAATCAAGGGGGCATATAGTTTTGTGATTCTGCATTCGAATTCATGTGCAGGATCCAGGATCCAAGAGCATTTTCACAACACACAAGTAGTCAGGAAAAGTATTCTTTTACCAGAACGAGCTTCCCTACATCGACCCCTACTTTCGACTTCCAGGCGCGTTGTGAGCCAGATCACGGCCTGTTGGCAAAGTTTTTGTGAAGGGTTGTGGAGGGGCCTTGTCGGTATATGTCAGGGGAGGTTGTGGGGGGTGAATTGATACATCGATATATATATATATATATCACAAATAAATAATCATTTCTATATAGTGAGATACTAATTCGTATGTGTGTATATATATATGTATCATATAATAAGTTGCACTTGGAAAACGGACCAACGGACCTACTATTCCCTTATGCCGGATCGTGCAATCATTTCTCCGAGCGAGCCAGGCTCCAACTTTGGAACTCGCTTCGTGAGCTACCGTGTGGCGGAGAACGTCCAAGCTCATTCGGCCATAGGACGTGGGTGGAATGACATGTTCCAGTTCTACACAGTTCTACACTGGTTTCAGAGTAGATGATGGCACAAACCCAAGGATGTCTTTTAGATGGGGATCCATATAGACCACCTTTAGGGGGTTGTGCTATCTACACTGAATCCAGTGTGCACAATTTACCACAGATTCACCTTTAAGTGATGGTTTAAACAAGCTTTTTGCACATTGAAGACGTTTGCAGGGTTCGTGTTGTTTCTACATAGCACACACAAAAAGGGAACACACATTTGAGTGCCAAAACACGCCTCTGTGGAAGGCTATTTTTCACCGAAGATGCTATTTGAGAGGACTTGGGTCCTACATCATCAGTATCCAGACCCTTGGGTGCAGAATCTTCAAAGATTGAAAAGGGCTCAAGCAAAATGTGGCAAAGGCCAAGGACGCTACTAGGGGCTCCTGGCCTTACTACTAGTAACAAGAAGCTACTAGGGGCTCCTGGCCATACTACTAGTAACAAGAAGCTATTAGAAACAAGAAGAAAACGGTTGATTAATGGAGGTCATTGAGAACTCTTTTTGGCTCAGTGCCGTGCAGTCACGATAGCTGTAAATGAATTGATCACAATGAGACCCATCAGGATGCCATGGACATGTCCACAGCTTTGGCTGATGTCGCTCTTCCATGTGAATTTCCGGTTTGTCCTATTTGACTCATCATTTGACGGTGTCGATCGGAGATGCTGAAACCTAGGCCGTAGGCGGTGGTATCATGCACAGTGAGGGAAACATTATATCATATGCTGTCCAAAGGTAACCAGCCTGGTGTTTTTGTCAGATTTGGCATTTTGCAATTCAGGGGCCATTCCTACGTCAAGGATGTGACTGCATTCGCTGTTCCAGAGACGACAGAGCTTCACAATGAACCTTGGATGGCAGCTAGTCACAGCTAGTTCGCGTCAAGGTGCCAGAAAAGTCATTGATCATTGATCACTAATTATGTGGGAGTGTTAAAATAGGGAGACCTCTCAGGCAACGACCCCTCCCAGCCAGGGCGAAGGGTGTCTTCCTTGTTTCATGCGCACCCATTTGTGGAAGTTTGCTTTCACTTGGCCTTCATTGGAAGCTGATATATCACGACATGTTTCTTCAGCTTTTGCATGTGGGTTAGGCTGTTGCACGGGGTTTTGTCTTGAGGCGTTCATTTGGCACATCACCAGCAAAAACAGGAGACTTTGCACTCAGCTCGTGGGACCTGACGAGAAATGATGCAGTGGGATGCAACCCGAAGTCCAAAGGAATCAGATTGGATGTGAATGTGTTGTGCTGAGTGGCCACTTCACGTCGTCTCACTGCAGTCGATCATTTGCCGATGTTGAGGCCAGGGATGAGGCTAGGGGATGTCAAACAAGCGAAGTAAGCAGTTGAACGGTGTCCTGACATTTGAGAACAAGGGCAGCTTGTGGAGCCCAAGCCAAGAAGATGGGGCATGCCGGGCAAGCATAGTGGTGTCCATGAATGACAGAACTAACTTCACTTGATGTTTAATGATGTCCCATGATTGGTGAGCCTACATATATACCTGACCGACCTCTCCAAGATTCGGTGTGGTTTCGATCATCGTCTACTGCTTAGACTGGTCAAAGGTCCGAATCTCTATCCTTTGTTTGGTATTCAGTCTATCCAGGTTGAGTGTTCAAAGTCAGAGGTAGATCGCATATCATATATTTATACACACTCCCTGAAACAATCATGGAAGTGGACAGTGGCCCCTTGACCAAGAGGGAGTTGTCCACTTCCATGATTGTTGCGGTGAGGGTATACACAATGTAATATATATATATACTGGACTGCATATTTAATTGCTCCCAGATGGCTCAATCTATTTTTCCTACCTGTTCTTGTGCTTATCACGAGCGCGAAAAAACACCGCACGGTACCCAGAGTCCGGCTTGCAGGACGCCATATTTCAAGAACTTTCTATGCACTGCTTCTCACTGCCTGCCTTGCTCTCGATCTCGCTGTGGAGACTACTCCAAGGACAGCACGCTTCCGTCAGTTCCGGGACAGTCGGCGAGATGTCGGGTGTTTTATGGGGAGGATAGGCGGAGCTAGATTTGTATGCTATGCTTTGCTGTGCTTCGCTACGTTTGGACATCGTTCAATTTGTTTGATTTCTGCGATTCATGGACTGCAGCTGAGATGCGACCCAAACCCCCCAACTGCATGGTTGAGTGGGGTTTGCAACCACCCATATCTTCAGGAGGGCTTTTGTACCAGGTGACCTGGCCGCTCAGCTCATGTTTTCGATAACATCTCAGACATCTCCATCTCGGGCACCGCCGTACGAAAACTTAATCTCTTCGGATCCGAACTTGGATCACCAGTCAGTGGCAGCCCGTGGCCTTCGGTTCGTCACCTCAGTTCCTACAGACGCTGAACACCGACCCCCAAATCGATAGAGAGATAGTAATAGAAAGGGACGAAAGGGGCTCCGCTTCAATCAGTTGGCCATCGCCGATCGGTCACATCCTCTTGGAGCTGGATTTTTGCACGGACGCACTTCATGCTCGTGTCTTAGAAGAACCCAAGGGGGGTTACCAGCCTGCCAGCAGGGCTGGCCAGCCAAGGTGTACTTGCTTTCATACGTTGTTGGTCTAATTACACCTAACCTGACAGCAAAAGAACGTTAGTCCAAGACGCCGACCTTGCAACAAGGACTTTGTCAAGGCAACTGGATTGACACCAGCGAAAGGATCGTAATCATAACTGCACATGCACGCACACATATATACATGGATGCATACAGTATACACACATACTGTTTGTTTGATTTGGTTGATTGACTAGGAAGTGGGCCTAATGTCAGAGGACTTGGGGTTCAGGTGGGGGACCGACGTGACTTGTGCCCCAGGAGTCAAACATGGGCTTTGTTTGGGGTTTCAGCCAGCTGAACTATGTATGACATGAAGCTGGCAGAAGACATGATCAGATCTTGGCCATTGTATGCGGCCAATTTTGCCCCGTCAGAGACATTCAGAGACCTTTCTTGGGCGATGATCTTTGTTCTCTGTGCTTTCGCCTCGGCTCAGCCAAAGGCGGGCCAAGGAAAGTATCGACAAACATTCATGAAAAAGTTATTCGTGGGCAATCTTGACTGCTTGACTTCTTCAGTCCAAAGTGACTGGAACCTACCTCCTCAGTTGCAGTGATGGGGGATCTTTAAACTTTAAATATGAATGAGATGGTGAACTTTTTTGGTGCTTCTACTTAACTGAAGGGGTTAGGGAATCAGACACATTCAGCCGATTGCCTTAGACAGAAAAGCCCGAACTCGGTCGCACACAGGTTTGACAGTCACATATTTGATTATATTTGGAAGTTTGAGTGTTTCGGTTAAGATCTCGCACAGGCTCTTTTGTACAAGCCCCTGTACACCATGATGCATCATGATTCCACAATCTTCCGCATGGTTTGGGGGCTTGTGAAGGTCCGTGTCGATGTCCGACCAGCCTTCTGTTTCATGTCGAGGAAGTGCGAAAAAAAGGGCCAATTCTTCGATAAACCCAACGATCTCCCAAGAATCTCCGGGAGATCTTTCTGCCCAGAATCGACCCTTCGAATCTCCTGCACTTCGACCCTCGAAGTAAGGAGCCCTCGGTGACCGCTTCGACGCCTCGGTTTTCCACACCAAACCGACCCGAATTGGGGGTCACCGTCCCTCCGGTGGGATGGCCCGGATCCGAAACATCGAAGGGGTTGCAGAGTAGATGACACTGGCACCCCTATACATGTCTTCTAGATGGGGGTCCACATCACCTCATGGTGATTGTGCCATCTACTCTGAAACCACTGTAGATCATTTGGATTTGCTTTGAGACTCCAGGAAGCCTTTTGAATCCGAGAATCAAATCTCTAAGTCTGTAGTGGAATCTCCGGGTAAATTTGGTGCACTCAAGCCTTGTGACTTCAACATGACATACTGTCCCCTATAGCTGAGTAAGACTATGATGGAGGCGGACAACACGCAGAACTTTGTTTTTCACACCCACTTGTCATTGGACTCCACAGCCGCCAAACACACGTTCGACACCGCTGAGGCGTGCGTTCGACACCGCGGAGCTGCTTCCCAAAGCACTTCATGCCTTGCAGCTGTTGCGCCAGGGCGTCAACGCAGCACAGACCAAGGTGCCATGACCGGGCGATCGGATGGATGAATCATGCGAGACGATGAGAACCGCCATGGGCCATACAGATTGGACGGGGTTTTCTGTCTCTATAATTTGTTCAAGTCTAAGTCGTGAAGATTTGGCATGGCCTCCTTCAAGCACATTTGGCCAGCCTTGGTTGTTCTTTGCGCTGGGTTCAGGCATGTGTTCTACTGAGCGAGTGACGATGTGGTTGGATAATTTGTGTGATTTTACTCTACTGTAATTTGTTTTGCTTCAGAGGGTACGGTATATTCTAGCAGGCCAGCTCTTATTCTGCATTATATTTTTGGACGTGTTGGTTGCCGTTTTTTTGGGGGGATACTGACCCCAGGCTTCGGCAGAATGTAGTTGTTGTTTAAATTGGTTCGCTTAGCTTGCGGCCATCAGTGGCTTCTTGTAACCTCTATTGGCTGCTGGCTTTTGGTGGCTTCTTTTGGCTACTGTTGGCCAGCTTCCTGGTCCTATGGTTTTAAACGCTTCAACTGCTTTTTGGCTAGTGCTGGCGCTGCGCCCTAAGCCCCAACCCCCCTCCGGTGCCACGAAATCTGCCACTTCTCCCGATTTCATGCAGGCCACACAGTGACGTCATCCCTGCCACACAGTGATTTCGTTCATTCTTCCCTTTACTGTACTTTGTGCAAGGAGGTAGCCAGGAACAGCCAGGAACCTCCCCTCCCTGGAAAGCATCTTCCGCTCAACTGGCGGTCGCCTCAAGCAGGAGTGGAGAAGACAAGCAGTGCCTTCGCATTTGGAGTTGTCCCTTGGGCGATCAGACGGGTCATGACGGGTCCAACGGGCTGTTTTCGACACACACTCGGACCGTGGGACCGTGGGAGTATCCATTGGATTTGTTTTGGGCACCCGGCACCCGGTTGTTCTGAGGCACTCAACCAACACAGGTCGACCGTGTCACAGGTCCTTGACCTGCATTACACGGAGTGACCGGTCAAGAAGGGTCTTTCCCCGCAACCAACACAGCTATGCTCAGCATTGCTTGACCTTCAATTGGGCATCCAAAGACCGGCAGTCCGACCACACACACCACACGGTCGATCGTGGTGGGTCATGATTGGATCCTCCGGCTTCGATCGTTCAGGAACGCCAATGATACCCAAGGTATTCGTTTGATGGTTCCCACATGTTCCCACCAGGAGATGATACCAGGAGCTCTTTTTGATTCTGTCAAGTGTGTTTCGTTTTCTTAGATCGCCGAACATCACCCATGGTCAGCCGCTCCCCCAGCATAGCCTGACCTCAAGGACTCACCAGGGCTTGGACCACGCTGCCGCGCAACTGGAAGAGCGGCTTTCGGGCACGCAGGGGTACAACACGCGCGGAACTGGAGCGAAACGTGTCGCGGAACGGTGTTTTGGAGGGTTACTGCACATCCTTTTTTCATGTGTACTGTGTGCACTTTTAAATATGTTTGTTTAATATATATGTATATATAGTATATTAAAATACCATATAAATATATATATATTGTACGCATTTAAACTTAAACGCACACGCGTGCGTGTTGTTCTGTTTTGGAAAGGTGTGTGTTACATGAACGATGTTACATGGTATAACTCAAATAAATGATCATTCATTTGCTTGTCAGTTACTTCACTTGAATCGCTTTTGGGTGGGTCAGATTGAGGGGCGACATGGTTGACTTGCCTTCTCGGTTTTGCGATTGAATTGTTAGTAGGGTACTCAGTCACTTGCACATATCGATGTGATGTATATTGTATACCTGTAGACAGGCATGGGTGACACCTCACATACCCCACATGAATCATGAGGAGCGGGATTTGTGCGCAAGCTGGTTGTGATGGGTCAGATTGAGGTCAATGCTTTTTTTCATGCACTCATGCACTGCACGCCCCCGTTCACTCTGGGCTCGTGAGGCGCTGACTCGACTTTGGAGCCGAGAGGCGCGGGTTTCCGCCGCGGGAACTTGGTCCACCCTTCTTTGTGCCACTTTCCTGGTGATTTGGTGCTCAGCACTTGTTGCAGATGTTGATGTTTCAATCTAGACCATCGGGACCATTCCGTGCAGAAGAGTTTGATGTTTGAAACAGATGTTGCGATCCTTCAATCATATATATAATTGTGTGAGCTCTTAGCTGACGCTAGTAACCGCTAGTAGAGGCTTCCAAGACCATTCTTCGCAACATGTTGTAATTCATGATTGCTATCGAGTTGTATACAAGCGTTTTTGAGAAAGATACCCTGTAAGGGTTTAGACGTCCAAAGTCCATATATTTTAGATGCCATTATGCCAACAATGCGTGTATGTTTGTGATCCTTAGTGGCTGAGTATTCCACCCTGGAGTTTTCTTTCCGCCCTGTCTCAGCTAGACGCAGGTTGGGACATGCAGCGGCGGTCAGAGCTCAAGCCAATTCCCCAGGACCGAGGAGGATTCTATAGGCTATATATTAGGTATTTGTTGTAGTTGTTATTTGTTGCAGGCCAGAGTTATTTGTTGTCTTACATGGTTTGCTTAGAGATGACTCGGACATGACATGTCACGTTGACTTGGTGAGTTTGGAGCCCACCCTCCAACCTCACTGCGATGGGGTGAACAGCGTCGGTAGACGCATTGGTTCGGAGCAGACCCTCCGCGCAGACCCTCCGGCCCGAGTGAACTGCGCAGACCCTCCGCGTGGTTGAGGAGCTGCTCTTGGACTTGCTGGGAGGGCCCGACCTAGCTGCTGTCCCAGTGGAGGATGTGAGGTTGGGGGGGGGCCCTAGGGCGAACGTGCTGGAAGGTTAGATTAGAACCTGCCGAGAAAGTGGGTGCAATTTGCATGACATCGAAAGGAACACCAGGTGACGGTCATGTCGCACGGAACCCGACTGTACAAATCTGCATCGTGGGATCTCGGGTCTAGCCGAATACCTGTAAAACCAAACGGTAATCATTTAATAAATGGACACAACATGACACAATTAACCGGAGCCTTCAGTAAACAATCAATATTATATTATAATTTTGCTGTTCGACGCCGCTCCAGGGCGCAAGTGCAGCACTTGGCCTCCTTGGCCTTGCTGAGCTCGCCAGTGGCGGCGCATTTGGTGGGCTCTCGCCTCTACGGGGCGCGGACGGAAGGGAGACAGGTTGGCAGATGGAGCAGCCTCTTTCGCAGGGACGGCGTGCCAGCTGGCATCTCTAATTTTAAGTGTTCTTTGGATTGAAACCGCCCTTTGGTTCAAAAGCTCAAGTCCTGCCACAAACAATGATAGAGCGATATGATATGTTTTTCTTTCACCTCAAGTATGCACAAGGCCTACCAAGAAGTCCAAACCAGCTAAAAGATGTTTGTTGCCAGCACCTGGCGGCTGGGCAGGGCCTCAGAGCAAGGTTTCTTAAAGACCACGTGAGCTACCACAAACGTTGCATATGTATATATATACAGTCGTCGCAAGTCATTGCATAATTTGGAAATAGAAAAAAAGTACTCTTGAAAAGAAGCAAGCAGAACAAGCCACCGGTCAATCTTGCCAGGTTTATGTGAACATTAATTACCTGACTGTTCCGGCCATTCTACTCCAAACAAGCGCCTAGTTCTTCAATGGGCCGCTCGGATTTGAGTACCTGCACAGGCTGCTTTGCCCGACGCGGACATCGACCTGGTCTTGGAGTGCGGAGGGCGGTGGTCGGGACGAAGACATGCACCGACCGGAGGGTTGGAGTAGGACATCTTCAGGCAGGCTCACTGAGGACTACTTCGTCTGTTGATGGAGGCATCCACAAGACCATTTGGG